CTAGGATCACTAGTTCCTAGTCGTAGCAAGCCACAGTGGCTACAGCAGTAACCAGGTCTCAAGCAAGGCAACTTCTTTGCTTCAACAAAGTCCATGCCTACAACAGGAACAAAAGAACCGATCAGTGGAATAACGGTTCTTCCTGGCAGTATTGTGCCAATTCATTTTGTCCAAACAGGAAAAGAGATAAAACCATCCCTGCACCAACAGTGATCTTAGCTCCTATCGGAAGTAAAGAAGATCGACACTCAGTAGTACCCCCACTAGCAGAAAAAGCTTCTCCTGTACCATCATACCTAACTCCTACTGCAGCGTCAACCAGTAGAAGTGTAGTAGCTCCTACACCACGCACATCACCACTTCAGTTAACCACCAAACCCTTGCCAAGCGAATCAACAGACACCAGCCCCACAGTATGACCCAGTGTCTTCTCACAGGAATCTTTGACTCACCTGAACCAGTCAATCCACCAGTCCCAGTAGAGGAACAATGCCCAGTACCTGTTCCAACAGAGCCACTCAGATCTCCAGTCAACCCCAATCCAGAAGAAGACTCTTCCAACAGACACCCAAACAACCCAGAAGACGGTGACTCGGAACCCAGTGATCAAGAAGATGAAGAAGACATGTCCAACAACAATAGCGGAGCGGTAAACAAACCCAACCAATTCAAAGGAGACAAAGGAAAGAGCAAGGAGTTCCTGGACGAGTTATACCTGTACTTTGCTGGAAATTCCAAGAAGATCCAGACCGATAAAGATAAGGTTCAATGCACTCTTTCCTATATCAAAGGACCTGCCCAATTCTTCATTCATATGATCATCACTGATGTGGAAGAACCCATATCTGATTCCAAAGATGCACCTCTCAAAGGATTGCCCAGCTGGGCTAACTTCAGGAAGTCTTTTATCCAGACCTTCAGAGTCGAGGACAACACTCAGGCAGCACTAAATGAGATCAGCAAATGCACCTAGGTAAAGTGTGGAGGAAATGGACTTCATTTTGTCACAACTCTTTGACCTCTCTTACAGGCTAGCAAATTAAATGAATTAGGTCAAATTTGAGAACTTCAGCATCTTATTCCTCCTGCTCTCTTAATCAAGATTGCCGCCCAACCACCATTACCAGTCACTGCGGTAGGATATCTCAATTGTGTTCAGTCTATCTGTCAATCTATGATCGACATCTTTGGTGATAAACCCTTATTCATGCCATCTGCCAATCGCTCTTTCAGTTGCAACAAGTTTGTACGCCACAATCAGGCCATTGAAACCAGAGATGGATCATCAAAGGAAGCATCATCTAATAATCAGTGGATCAGACATTTGTTAGACAAGGATCACAAGGACCACATAGAGAAGAAGTTATGCTTCAGATGTCACAAACCTGAACACCAAAGCCATCAATGCCCAAACAATTGCATCAGGGCAATTGAATCACATGATACATCCACTCAGGAGAAGGACAAAACCAAGGATTCTTCTGATGAGGAAGGAATAGCTGAAGAATACATTCAGGCTATATCTTCTGAGAAGGATTTTTGAAATCTTTGATTGCCGTGACGTCAAATCGAAGTACTGGCACTAAGGAATATTTATATCAGGCAAGATTAGCTCATAAATCTATTTATTTGCCTTGCATATTAAAAAAACTATGCCAAAACCATCACCACCGAGGCATTGCTTGACACAGGAGCAATGGAGAATTATATTGGACATCCAGTTCGCTCAAGATCACAACCTCTAGCACCAGAGTATTACACCCAGACCAGTGTTTAATGTCAATGGATTGCCAAATAAAGCTGCAGCTATCAAACACAAAGTCTTCTTCACTATATCCTTATCAGGACAACCAATGAAGATAGAAGCTTACACCACAGTACTGGATAGGAACCCAATCATTCTAGGTCTCTCTTGGTTCAAACGTTTCAACCCAGCAATTGATTGGGTCATGGGGAAAATGTGCTTTTGCTGGGATCAACTTCTATGAGCAATCAAGACCCTTGCTAGTAACATCCCAGAATTCCTAAACACCTTCCTCTCTGTATTCAACAAAAGTACAGCAGAACGACTACTGGAATGGAAACCCTGAGACCAGGCAATCAATTTGGAAGCCAACTTCAAACCTCAGCAAGGAAAGGTTTACCCATTATCACTGGCAAAGCTCAAGGAGTTAGACACCTTTATCGAGGAAAACTTGCGGAAAGGATATATTCATCCATCAAAGTCTCCTATGGGCATCCCTATTCTTCTTTGTCAATAAGAAATCAGGAGATCTGCGACCATGTCAGGACTACAGGAAACTCAATGATGCCACCATCAAGAACACCTACCCAATCCCAAGAGTAGAAGATCTATTGGATCGTATTGCCTCTGCCAAGCCAACTATGTTTACCAAACTTGATCTGTGCGCAGGATACAACAATGTAGGGATCAAAGAAGGTGATGAATGGAAAGGAGCTTTTATCACCCCACGAGGGTTATTCGAGCCAACTGTCATGTTCTTTGGAATGACAAACTCTCCGGCAACCTTCTAAGCTATGATAGATGGCATCTTTGTGGATCTGTTACTAGAAGGATGGCTAGTGATCTATATCAACAATATCCTCATCTATTCCACCAACCATGCAGAACATCAACAACGCACTCAACCAGTCCTTCAGCGTCTGAAAGAATCAGACCTGTTCCTCAAACCTGAAAATTGCTTCTTTGATGTATCAGAAGTCAAATTTCTAGGGTTTATTCTCAGGCCAGGACAAAAAGGGATGGCAGAAGATAAGGTATCAACAGTACTAAATTGGCCAAAGATTGACAGCGCCAAAGCACTGCAACGGTTCCTAGGGTTTGCCAACTTCTACTACCAATTCATTCTAGGATATTCCAAAGTCACACGACCTTTATTCAATCTATTGATAAAAGGGATCAAGTGGAGTTGGACTGATGATCATGACAGAGCCATCAATCAACTCAAGGAATGTTTCAAGACTCAACCACTTTTGGTAC